AACTATAAGCCAATAAGCACACCGGCAGAATACGGGATCAAGATGACCAAACATGAAGAAGGCGAAAGTGTAGATCCAACATTCTTCAAAAGTTTGGTAGGAAGTCTACGCTATCTAACTTGCACGAGACCCGATATTCTTCACGCAGTTGGATTGGTTAGTCGCTACATGGAATCTCCAACAACCACCCATTTTAAAGCTGCAAAGAGAATTCTTCGCTATCTGAAAGGTACAATTGACTTTGGCTTGTTCTATTCAGTTTCTAATGATTACAAGCTTGTTGGATATAGCGACAGTGATTGGGGTGGAGACATAGATAATCGAAGGAGCACTACTGGATTCGTATTTTTCATGGGAGATATTGCGTTCACATGGATGTCAAAGAAACAACCGATTGTCACATTGTCCACTTGTGAAGCGGAATATGTTGCTGCTACCTCATGTGTTTGTCATGCAATTTGGCTTAGAAATCTATTGAAGGAGATTGGTTTGATACAAGAAGAGCCTACCAAGGTTTGTGTCGACAACAAGTCAGCCATTGCCTTAGCGAAGAATCCAGTATTCCATGATCGAAGCAAGCACATTGATATTCGCTACCACTATATAAGGGAGTGTGTTGCAAGAAAAGATGTGGAAGTTGAATATGTGAAGTTACAAGATCAAGTTGCTGATATTTTTACCAAGCCACTGACCAGCGAAGACTTCTTAAGATTAAGGAACCTACTAGGGGTCACGAGATCAAGTTTAAGGGAGGGTGTTGGATCATAAACTTGATCCATTATGGGAGCCTAAACCCAAACCCAAACTAAATTGATGTCATTACTTACATCATTTAATTAAAGATGTCATTGCTTACATCATTTAATTAATGATGTCATTGCTTACATAAATTTAGTTAGGTGAGAGTTAGATATTTGTTGAATTTGTAATGGTTTAAATTAGTTTATTTGTGTGGTGTAGGATTGTTCTTGAGTAGTATAAATACCCCTTCCCATTTTAGTTTTAAGCATCAAGAAAAATTAAGAGCTTCTAAGTGAGTGAAGAAGCAAAGTCTTATAAGAGTGAGTTGTAGTTCTTGTTTTTGAGTGAGAGTACTCTTGTAATATTTGTTTGAGTTTCAATAAAAGTTGTTTGTGTGAGTGTTTTATTTCCAACAGGGTCCAAGCAAGGTCAAGGACAATGAGGACTCCCCAGAGTTCGGCCTGAAGAACTTCAGTGATGCCAATAGATTTATGAAATCCGCATAGCCAATTACCCTAGCTATCTCTGAAGGCACCTCCGATTGAGCTGGTTGTTACAGAATCAAGGACGGCAGCATCGACTTTGAGGCAAATCCAGCCAGCCGGAGGTTTTTCCCATTGAATAAAAGATTGCATCCGATTTGAAGTATTTGAAGTAAGTGAAGCGCGAGTCAAGCAGCCATGAAAATGTTGGCTTCAAACTGTTGCGCAGGAGATGGTTGCTTCCAAGAGGGGACGTTGAACGTTGAAGACGATATTATTGCAGCTTTTCCAAACCTACCAAACCAAAGAGGAGAAAACAAGGGACCAAGGAATATTCAAGGAGGGGTGATTCCGGTCGTTACTTATGTTGGAGTGAAGCCAACGGACAAGATCTTGACGGAAGAATTCCACGACAGCCGGCTGGGGCAGCATGCGGGTCCAAACTTCCTTGGCCGAAGGGCAGTCCCAGAGAGCGTGAATGATGTTTTCTTCATGGAAATTGCAGTACGAGCAAGAGGGTGCATTAGAGAGACAGCGCCTGACCCGTTCTGCATTAGTCAGAAGTTTGTTTTGGAAAGTAGACCATAAGAACAAGCAGATTCTTTGGGGGACCTGAAGGCTCCAAACCGAGTGTCATAGAAGATTTCTTGGTCTCCAAGAAGGTGCAGCCAAGGAACTGTAAGCCGAAGACGTAATAAAGTGATGGAGAGGGCCCCACTTCCTGACACACATATCATCCGAATCGTGAATATCAGGGAGCTTTATGGCAATGACATGCCGAATGGCCTCTGCAGAAAGGAGGGCAGAGATGGCCTCAACGTTCCAATGACCCTTCGTTGTGACAAGGTCAAGGATGCAGATATCGACATTAGGTAAATAGGGATTGAGAGCATGCTGGCGGAGCGGACCCAGGGTCGGGATCCAACTATCTTCTCAGAAATGCATTGTACGACCATTGCCCACCGTCCTTAAATATGTATACGTTACTAATAATTAAGAAACTTTTTTTTAGAAAAATATTACATTATAAACTATCGAAAAAAAGCGTATAATTAAAAACTAGAAGGCAAATCTCTTTAGATTTTCCGCTTCAATCAACTATGGATAATGCCAAATCATTAAAGTATAGCATATACTTGGATGAATTAACCTTGTATAAGCAAACAAACCACCCACATAATTTTCCAAAATCTTCACTTTACTACTTTTTTTTCTCTTCGATGACCAAATCTTTCAAGTTTCAAAAACATAATGTAAACAATGTTTTTTATTAAGAATTTTATGTTGACAAAGTGTATAGGTCGCAATTATAAATTTTGATTATGTTTATTTAACGCAAAACATTCTTTAGCTTTCTTTTTTTTGATAAAAGCATCGACTGTTATTATTGAATAAGAAAAAACATGGCCTACCATGACGACGTGGAGCCAACACATACAAAGAAAAGCGATTGTTGAAGTGAAAAGAAAAAAAGTCCCAAGGAGCTTACAAACTGAAGTAAAGTAAAATAAAAAACAAGGAATGGAACTCTTAAAGGAGAACAACAGTCGATACCCACTCCAATCTGAAGAGAATAAAGAATTGAAGGCCAAGGATCAGAGGATGAAACAGGGTTTCACCGATGAGAGTGAATAGTGTATCCCCTTCGAAGAACAGTGCCAAGCAGGATCAGGGAGGATTGAGTAGACGTCAGTCTTCAACTACGATTCGAAGAACTATATTCGGTGCTTCCTCTACCCAAAAATGATCTAGAGCTGGAAAGACCTTCCGCTGCCATTGCATGTGCTGCCTTATTACCATTTCTTCCAATGAAGCTGAAATCACAGGACAGGAGGTTACGTGCGAGAGCTTTGCATCTCGGATGAGAGACCCGATTTCTGAAAGGTCAGTTTCGTTGCTTTTCAATTTGTTGATGATGAGTTTTGCATCACTCTCAATTATAATCATGCTAAGTCCAATGTCTAATGCAAATTGTATCCCTTGAAAGTAGCTATTGCCTCGGCCATGAAGACAGACGTAATCGGGTTATTGTTGACATGGCAAGTTCCCAAAATATGCCCTTCCATATCGCGAATGATGATTCCCGAACAAGCTTTATTTTCCTACTGAATGAAGCTCGCATCAACATTAACTTTGACGATTGGATTCGGTGGAGATTCCCATTTGGCTTGATTGTGAGTATGTGGATGGGTCAAGGCCGAATAAACTGATGATAATTCCCTGCAATGACTATGAATGGGGGTAAGTAAGCTGGAAACTGTTTGTTTCTGTCCTTCATAAATAAACATGTTTCGTGCTCCCCATAGAGACCAAATACTGATGCCAATTAGAGCATGCTTGCTTTTGTTATTTGTTGTAAAGATCCCCAAAAGCCATTCTTTGAAATCAAGTTGGTTTGCTGCTGAATTCCAATTAACTCCCAGTGCTTGCCAAACCCAACTAGCAAAAAAGCAGTCCCTGCTAACATGAATAACATTTTCTTATATGGACCCACACTCTTTAGAATTAAAACAGCCGCTCTGAATTTGATATATAAATGTTACAACTTATTTGTAATCACCTGCGTTTGTGAAATTAGAATCCGATGCATCATCTTTTTAATATGCTCCATGGAAATGTTTGAATATATGTTCTCTTGTATACACTAGCAACAATGAATATATGGTTGCAGTCTCACCCTCATACAACTACAATGTGATGAAGTAACTCACCTAATAAGACAATGCGTACTAACTATAAAATGTGTACCAGTTAGCCACTATGATATAATGTAATTTAAATTCGAAATAAATATTAAATATATATTTAATGTAAGTATATTTAGTTTCATAAAATTTTATACATTTTTAGAAAATATATTTATACGAACGACTACGAGTTAAACATCAATACTCTAAAAGAAAGTTTTAGACAACAACCAATTGGTATAATGAGATGAGGCATTAGATTATTTAAGAAAGGTCAGGGGTTCGAAACCTAACGTTTGTGAATAGAGCAAACTGGGTTAGAAGGGTCACTCTCGCCACTGTAGTATCGATTTGGATTAATCGATCTATAGACCGAATATCAGTAATTTTAAGCATTTTATGTCGATAAAGAATTTGTACATTTGATATTGAATGTATGCAAATCCTTTTCCAGGCCGAATAATAAATAAAGAGGAGGTGATTGGGTTTTTGTTTATGGTGTGTTGTTCCATAAGCACCTCAGATCATGTTTAAGAGCCAAGCCGACACCATAGGCATGATCCACCAAAAACGCATATTATCGGACTCTTTTCCTCCTGCATTGCAAATCGGAGCAATCAAGCATTTCCAATTTGCTAAGCTTCCGCTTTCATATAAATAAAAAAATTGAATGATTACATTAAAAAAGTTAGAATAATATTGTTTTGAAAAATCTTAAGGTTTAAGAAAGATCCGTAGAAGCACGAATTAAGCGACTTCGGTAATTAAATGAATGATTATCCCTAAAAGTTACATGTTCAAGCACCAGTAATTACAGAGTATTAAAGTATTTATTATCAAATATTTAAAAATCTTTAAAATATATTCAGTTACTCTAAATTAATAAAAAATAAAATAAAAAGAAAGAAGGAAAGATAAGTGGAACGAAATCGGTTAAAAGACATGCCCATTCGAAATAGAAATGTGTAAAATAGTAAAATAATTGAGGGTAAAATTGGTATTTAACATTTTAAGGAGTCTTGTGTTATTTCCAATAAGGGCATTATAATTAAATCGGAAATAAAATATCAAAAAACCCTTTATGGCTCATGTGAGATGTCGAATGTTAGCCCTTGGATTGTCCTTAATCCGACGGTTAGGAAAGAAACCCTAGCCAAAACTAAGCTGAGAGCGTGGCTACTTAAGCTTAAGGGGGCAGCTGATTTCCTATTCCTAATCCTTCGCTTGCGCATTACGCTCTATTCTGTTGCTACGAGGCGAGCTTTAGGTCAAGCGAATCTCAAAGACTAAATTCTATACTTTACAGGTACAATCCTTTTTGTAGTAATTTTCTATTAAGTTGCTTTGATTTGAAGGAAAATATGATGTTAGTGGTTACTAGCTGATATATTAGTTCCTTGATTTATGTGATTTGAGTATACTTTTTACGGATTTGTTTTTAGTTTTCTCTGTCTGGTTTGTTCATTTCTAAATGATTCTGATTTGATACCGTTTTGCTTTAATGATTCTTTTTACGGATTAAATTTTTCATTTCTTTTTGTTTCAATCGATGTGTTTTTAGATTCTGTGCATCTATTTTTTGTATAGAATCCGGTGGCTTTAAATCTCTAAAATATATTTTTTGAGGACATAGTTCATGTGATAATCATAAATTTACTGAAAGAGATATAGCCGCTGTAAAAATCTGTACGCAAAGGACAAAATGATTGAAACTGTCAACGTTTATCCTCTCTTAGGCTTATTTGCTTTTAATCGGAAAGGAAATGATAAGATCCAGTGGCTGTAGTTCAGTGGAAAGAACCCCATTTTTATGGAGGACCTGGGCTCGAATCCCAGCGGCCACTACTATTAAACTTCAAATTTTTTTTAAAAAAATTAAGTTTTATTATTCCTCGTGAAACTTGTTTCTGCAGTTGGATGTCAGATTTGTTTTTCTTCTTTGTTTCTTGATGTCTAATTCTTGTTGTGGTTAGTTGAAAAGAAATATATTTGAGTTTTGATTTGTTTTATGAATATGTTGATGTTTAGTTTCTGTCTCCAGTTCTACAATGGGAAAAGAAAAGATTCACATCAACATTGTGGTCATTGGCCATGTCGACTCTGGCAAATCCACCACCACTGGTCACTTGATCTACAAGCTTGGTGGTATTGACAAGCGTGTGATTGAGAGGTTTGAGAAGGAAGCTGCTGAGATGAACAAAAGGTCATTCAAGTATGCCTGGGTTCTTGACAAGCTTAAGGCCGAGCGTGAACGTGGTATTACCATTGATATTGCCTTGTGGAAGTTCGAGACAACCAAGTACTACTGCACTGTTATTGATGCCCCTGGACATCGTGACTTCATCAAGAACATGATTACTGGTACCTCACAGGCTGACTGTGCTGTTCTTATTATTGATTCAACCACTGGTGGTTTTGAAGCCGGTATCTCTAAGGATGGTCAGACCCGTGAGCATGCTTTGCTTGCCTTTACCCTTGGGGTCAAGCAGATGATTTGTTGCTGCAACAAGGTGAGATTTAGTTCTCATTTTCGTTGTGTTCATTTTGTTAATGGAAGTTGTTATCATAACTTGTTTTTGTGACTTAGCTGAACTGATTTTTCAATTATCATTTGTTGTAGATGGATGCCACAACTCCGAAATACTCCAAAGCAAGGTATGATGAAATTGTAAAGGAAGTCTCTTCTTATCTTAAGAAGGTTGGTTACAACCCTGAGAAGATCCCATTTGTCCCAATCTCTGGTTTTGAGGGTGACAACATGATTGAGAGGTCTAACAACCTTGACTGGTACAAGGGTCCCACTCTCCTTGAAGCTCTTGACCAGATCAATGAGCCCAAGAGGCCATCGGACAAGCCCCTCCGTCTCCCACTTCAGGATGTCTACAAGATTGGTGGTATTGGAACTGTTCCTGTTGGTCGTGTTGAGACTGGTGTCTTGAAGCCCGGTATGGTTGTGACTTTCGGTCCCACTGGATTGACAACTGAAGTTAAGTCTGTTGAGATGCACCACGAATCCCTCCCAGAGGCTCTTCCCGGTGACAATGTTGGGTTCAATGTGAAGAACGTTGCAGTTAAGGATCTCAAGCGTGGTTATGTTGCTTCGAACTCAAAGGATGATCCTGCCAAGGAAGCTGCCAACTTCACCTCTCAGGTCATCATCATGAACCATCCTGGTCAGATTGGAAATGGATATGCCCCAGTCCTTGATTGCCACACCTCCCACATTGCCGTCAAATTTGCTGAACTGTTGACCAAGATCGACAGACGATCTGGTAAGGAGCTCGAGAAGGAGCCTAAGTTCTTGAAGAACGGAGATGCAGGAATGGTGAAGATGGTTCCGACCAAGCCCATGGTTGTGGAAACTTTCTCAGAATACCCACCGCTCGGTCGTTTTGCTGTGAGGGACATGCGTCAGACTGTGGCTGTTGGTGTCATCAAGAGTGTTGAGAAGAAGGACCCAACAGGTGCCAAGGTCACCAAGTCTGCTGCCAAGAAGAAGTGAGCTGTCGCGTTGGAGTCATTCATGGGTTACCATTTTTGTCGAGCGTTTACTATTTGCATGGAAGTTTTAACTTTTCGGACCAATTTTAATATGATTTAGTTTTTATCTTGTTCTGGTTGAGACTTTTGTTCAATTGTCAGGGTTTGCTTCATACTGTGGTTGAATCGCTTCTAAACAATTATAGTTTGGTATTTGTCTTTATATTTGAGTTTCTTTCTTACTAATTTTCTTTACCTGTTTCCTACTTTAGTTAGGCTATTACACTCAATTTTGGAAGGTAAGCCTTATTCTCTGTCCACACCGAAGGTCCAGCCGTTCCTATGCTCTAGAGTCTAGAAGCCTTATTTTGTAGTTACAATTGTTTGGGATGAGAGCTCTGTATGATTCCTTGACGAAGGTTTTAAAAATGAATTAAGTTACGAGTTAAGGTTTTTGAAAGAAAATGTTTATTTAGGTGGGGCAAGTAATGTATTGAACAAATCAAGAAAAATGCAAATAGGGAGAAACCCAAAAAAGAAAACTACTTGAATTAAACCATACAAGAATTAGGGGTGAGTATTCGTCGGATCGAGTCAAGTCAAAATTTTGAATATTCTAAAATAATTTTATTTTACAATTAAATTTCTTTTTGAATTAAGTTTTTGAAACTAGAGTCAAATTGAGTTGTTTGAATTCTTGTTTCAATTTTATTATAAATATTTATAATGTTGGGGGTAATAATTGATTTTAATTTAAATAACTTTCCAAAATCATATATTATATACATATATATTTCATTCATATTTTTCACATGTGATATATACATCATATACATTTGAGAGACTCCAACTTAAAAATTAAATTAAAATTTTGTATGTTATTTGAGTCTTATTTTATAACTCAATTTTTATTTAATATTTGAGTCTTGATAGCCCAATCACCAAAAAGAAATGTCAGAAAAGTAAGTGCGGTGCACCTCGTCTTAACAGCAATACCCTACATTAAAATGGCATTATTACCACTCAGGCCCACCCCTTTCAATGTTTTCTCACTCTTCCGCGTAATATCTATTTCAGTAACATGAAGATTTGCAAGCAAGCAAGCAAGCTTTGGAGTAACCATGGCGCTAACACTTGAACAACATTCTGCCACCCGAGGAAATACTAAAAACATGATAATAATGCACATTTGGTCAACCCCAGTCATTACCAAAAATGAATCATTAACAGCTGGTATAATATAAAATAAGGTACGAACTGTTTTTGTAATGAGTAACTCCAAGCCTCCCCCATTGTGTTTTCCCATGTTTCTTTTACTTCAAGCTATTCTGAACTACCCCCTAACATAATTTAAATATAAATCAAACCCCCATTGCTCCTTTATTTTTTAAATCCCCTCCCCCCTCTTCTGTTTTCAAATTATCCGGACCTCAAAATTCCATGGGGTCTGCTGAGAGATCCAAGAAGAAAGTTCAGTTATGGAAGAAAGCCATTGTTCATTTCTCTTTATGTTTCGTTATGGGGTTTTTCACAGGCTTTGCTCCTACTGGTAAGGATTCAATTTTTTCGAACCATTTTGCTGATAATAAATCACAGAGTAGTTCGACTCAGCCCGTGAACCAGTCAGTAACATCAGTGGCACATAGCAGCAATGTTAACAGAAGTTTGAGAGCCGAAACTCCGGTTCCGGTGCAGGAGAGATCAAAACCAGATGATGTTGATGTTGTTCACGAAACCAATGTGCCAGCTGGGAGACGTTTAATTGTCGTCACACCGACAAGCACAAAAGATCGGTTTCGAGGTGTCTTCTTGAGGAGGTTAGCCAGTACTATACGTCTGGTTCCTCAACCATTGTTGTGGATCATCGTGGAAGGGCGATCGGATTCAAACGAGGTATCGGCGATTCTTCGGAAAACGGGGATTATGTATAGGCATTTAGTGTCGAAGGAGAATTTCACAGAGGCTGAAGCAGAGCTAAATCATCAACGGAACGTTGCATTGAAGCACATTGAGCAGCACAAGCTGAGTGGGATAGTGCATTTCGCTGGACTTTCCAATGTCTATGATCTCGATTTCTTCCAACAACTCAGACAAATCGAGTACGTTTTCACTCACCTAACTCTTTTTCCCATACAATATTTCTTTGTGAAAACGAGTTTCAAACTACCTGTGCATAAGATTCTACATGTACATACCGTGAAAAGGATGTTTCAGCTGCCAATTTCTGGGATTGAATAATGAATGTTTTGGCCAATTGCAGGGTGTTTGGAACTTGGCCAATGGCGTTACTATCAGCAAACAAGAGAAAAGTAGTGATCGAAGGACCCGTTTGCGATTCGTCACAGGTTATAGGATGGCATCTAAGGAAGATGAATAACCAGACAGATGATGAGACCAAACCTCCCATTCATATTTCAAGCTTTGCATTCAACAGTTTTATCCTTTGGGACCCTGAGAGATGGGGTCGTCCCACATCGGGTCAGGGCACTTCCCAAGTAAGTAAATATTTGCAAGAGATTATTTTTGTAAACATAATGTGAGACTTATCTGGGATACTTCAGATTTTGGTACCGATGATATTAATTCCAGGATACACAAGATATCATGTATTTATGCCTTTTGTGTTATTTACGTTTATAATATATTATTTTTTTATTTATAAAAATAGACAAGATCAAACCAAATTAAATCATGTTTCTTACACATTTTATTTTATGTCGGTATCGCTTTATTATTTTCGTGCATATAAATTCCCAATACTGCTTTTTTTTCTTCTTCAGAATTCCCTGAAATTGGTCAAACAAATAGTGCAAGAAGATGAGAGCAAGTTAAAGGGTATTCCACCAGAAGAGTGCTCAAAAATCATGCTTTGGCGTCTTAAGTTTCCCATCGGAGTTGTACCAAGAGATGTTGTGAAAACATCCTCATTGTCTGATGTAATTAACCAAAGATAAAAATACATACATACATACATACATACATGCATGCATGCATGCATGCATAAAGAGGAAGAACGTGTTGCTGAGAGATGTCAACGCATAATCTCAATTTTTCCATTTCGATTAGTGTCAATAACATTTTGGGTGTCCAACTTTTGAAATGCTGCGGGTTTAATCCAATTAATTTGTACAATCATTTTGATTGGAATTAATGTCCAATGAATTGCTTTCCATATTGGAAGTGGTTATACCAAATTGTTTGATTAGAAAGCAATCAAACGACATTTATGTAAAAAAAAAAACTAAGCTAAACCCCTCAACTTTTTGAAAAATCAATTAATTCTCTGATTTTTTTTAATCACATTAAGCCTTTAAATCAAAAAAAATAATATTCAGTATAGTTTTTTTACAGATAAAAATCATCGTTGATCATTCTAGTGTTAACGTAACGATTTACGGCACTGATGAGGTGATCCATAATATTGACTTGAGAGTCAATATATGTTGAAGTGACGATCTATATACGAATAATGAAATGATATATGAACTTAATATTTTTTTTTATAAAATTTGATGATTTATTTAACCTTCAAGCAAAAGAAAGAAGAATAAATGTTTAAAATTTAAATCATAAAATATTAGAAAATAGGGTAAACTACATGTTTAGTACTTAAATTATCACTTTTGTTCTATTTTAGTACCTAAACTTTCAATTTTTTAAAAATCATACCTAACGTTTACTTTTTATTTCATTTTAGTACTCCCAACGTTAACTTTTTTGTTTCATTTTAGTACCTAAATTTTTAACAGTGGGGTACTAAAATGAAATAAAAAGTAAACTTTAAGTATGATTTTGAAAAAATTGAAAGTTTATGTATTAAAACAGAACAAAAGTGATAGTTTAGGTACTAAACATGTAGTTTACCCTAGAAAATAATATTAAAACTTAAAAAATAAAATTAAATGTCAAAAGCTATAAAAATGTAAATTGTTAAAAAAAAGTATTTATAAATCGTTAACAGAGACATTCGAAGATTTTTTTTTGATAAAATTGTTAAATGTTTTGACACTTTATATTTTTATATTTTTAATTTTTTTTATATTTTTAATTCAATAATTTTTATTTATTCTTTTAATTTTTAATAATACCGTTCTTCATTAATTTTTTTAAAAAAATTTAATGCTTTTAATATTTTATATTTTAAATAATTTCTTAATTTTAGTTTTTGTAATTTTAGATTTTTAATATTTTACTTGTATGCTCCTTTGTGATCTTGAATAGTATCTCGTGTTACTAATTATGAAAAATATTATCTTTATATGTTTTAGGTTACGATTGTAGTCGTAAACTTTCATTGTTATTTAGATGTTTTTTCTATTTAAATAAAAATAACTTCTTTTATTCTGGCAAAAAAAAAAACATTTTATGTATTCGCCATCTGTTGGTGCATTCTCCACGGTTCATGTCGATGCAAATGGGTTGGTGATAGCGGGTCATGGGTTGCCTTGCCACTATCGTTTTCTGCTGACGTCAGCATCGTCGAAGCCTGCGCTCTTACTTCCGGTATCAGCCTAGCAATTAAGTTGGACGCATCTCATGTGATCGTTGAAAGTGACTCGCTGAATATGGTACAATTAAAATCTCGCTGCATCCACATTTTTTGAAGCTCCTCGCCTTTTGTTCAACATATTCGCCGCACCGCTCATGGCCTTGCGCGTTGGGCGTCTTCTATTCATTTACCTTCTATCTTTTTGCCTATTACTGCCAACTTTTACTGATTTCGGATGCATATATGTGCTACCTTTCAAAAAACAATTTGGTAGATTGATGTTTGTGATTTATAAATTAAGATTAAACTTCGAAATTACTAAATTTTATTTTAATTGAACTGCGTTTTACTTGTTCTACTGGTTAATGGTCTCTTGGGGTTGCGCCTGAGGTCAAATGTAGGATTTTCACTGTCAATTTCACTTCCACGAACGAGCAGAGCAGATTCCATGCACAAGCATCATCACACTCGGATGCAACTGCAGAAGGTCACTTTATTACGCCAGTGAAACCACCGGGATTTTGCACATGCTGTGCCACAGCCTACATTCCTGGTGAAAAAAGCTGTCAAAATTCTTTGGAGCTTTGCAATGGGAAAATGCCAAAAGAATTGTTAATAGAATGATCCTAATTGATTCTCGTGTTGTGCAAGGTAAATCGCTAAAACCAGTGCTCCTTGCCTGGTACATATCTCATCTCTATCGTACGTTTTATTTTACCCATACCTCTCAAGTCCTTAGTAACATAAATTTTCAGACATCTAAACCCTCTCCCATGAGCTATGAGGTGCAATCTGTGGTTTATTTACACAAAATTTGTGATATAAAGCAAGCAAAAAGTGTAAATCTATGGCGGTGTATCAATTTTTGGTAGCACCGGTAGCTAATGGTTTCTCTTCCATCTCTCCTTCGGACGGGATCTCACCTTCGTCTGTTGACTGGTCAAGAGGACCTTGAGGACTTCCAAACAGAGTAGAGAATATCTGCCGATGGCAGTCGTCACAGAAAAAGATGAAGGAAAAATGACCTTCATTTGGGAGGTTATGGATGGTGGCCCCTGGTAGAACACGGCTTATGTGATCTATCATTCCTTTTGGAAGAGCTTGATCATCCATCCCCTGTATAGCAAGTGATCAATATATATTCACAGAGAAAAAGGTGACCAACTAAATTACATACAATTAATGTTCACACAGAAAGGATCATGTTCCTCGCACTTAATATTCACAGAGAAGGGATCATGTTCCTCGCACTTGATATTCACAGAGATACCAAAACATACTTCTTCGCAAGATTTAAAAGCAGGCTATATTGAGGAAACAAAAAGTAAAGTCCCCAAACCTGCCATATATGTATTGGTCCAAGAAATCCTGCCAATTCACATTCCGCTTGACTGTAAAGGGACTTGAGCCAAGGGAAAATTCCATTTGTGTAACACTTCCTCTGCACCTGAAGATCTGCCAGACAAAAACCCCAGTTTGAAACCTGTAGGACAGCTTCCTCAATGTATGGTTTGGCATTTCCCTGACGGATTGATTCCTCTACATCTCTATGCCAGAAGTCTTCAAACGTTGCTCCTTGAGTTAGAATCTCATCCTGCACACGTCAAGATTAACTTACGCAAATCCTTGGAACACATCAAAGGCTAGTTTTCAACACAACGCTTTTGCAAAACAGTAGATCTTATCACATAGCACTTTCATACTTCGAACAAACTCCATAAGTTCACCCAATAGGGCATCACTTCATGCATCAATCCCTATTCTATTTCTTAGTCCAATAGGACCACATGCACGTCAAAGTGTTTGCAATTGAAAGAGATTATTGAAATGTGATCTTTTAAACAGTTTTTTAAAAATTAGCAATTATTCATCCTAGCCCCAAAAAGTTTGAAGCGAAGAGTAAATAGGACTACAGAGAAGATTTTTGAGAAATTATTGAAGATGAGAGTTGACTCACCCTCCTTCCAAGCGACACAGACATCCACTTTTCAATTCGGCCATGCTTTCCTGATAGGAAACTCCGGCGGTAAAAGGAGGACAGCAGTTTTGGCAATCTTCGTGCTAGATAATACATTAACTTCCTTCTTGGTAATGACTCTCCCCAAATACTTTGTATTTCTTCCTTAGTCAAGCTAGGTTCGTACGGACTGATCATTGGAGCAACCATTGCTGCACCTGTAGAGTTTGTGAAGATGCATAGGCCTTAATAAATTAAATAACCCATTACAAAACCAATATCTATTCAGGCTTCTAAGTAACATTATGCATTAATATGTCAGGTGTCAAAACAGTAAATTTACAGAAGCAACCAGCTCATACCTGCAATTTTGTGAGATACATGTCTAAGAGCAGCCCAAGCATGGATACTTCCACTCGAGTAGCCCAACACCCAGAACTTATCTTTGACCCCAACAGCATCAGCAAGATGTAGCATATCAAATGCTGATGAATTTAAATTTCTACTAGGATGAGGATCACTCTCCCCAAAACCAGGAAGATCATATGTAACCAGGCGAACACCGAACTCTTCAAGGAGTGAACTCTTAACTCCTGGTATACCTGTTTAACAAATAAAATTATACAAGTCTACACCAATTTGATCGAGAACATGCATATAAACTTCTATTAATTATATACTCTTACCTCCAAGTCGGGACGAAAGAAAGGAATGTGGTGCAATAAAAGAAAATCTAGCTTTGTCCGCTGGAACACCCATTGCACGATAAGCCAAGTGTCTGCCATCAGGGAGCTCGATTCGGCTTGCGCTAGGAGGATGAACAAGTACTTTCTTCACTGGTGGTGCCAATCCATCATGCCCACCATTCAAATTTAGAGCTGCAAAATTTCAAACAATGTTGAATTAACCAAAAATACATCTTTCTCAATCATTCAAATTTACAATCGATTATGAAAATTCATGAATGCAGTCCTAAAATCGTGTGAATCTAGCGTTCCAAATTTTCAATAACCACAGATAAACGCAAATAATAGTAATTGATAATCAATTCATCATTAGCGATAAAAGATTTAGTACCTGCAAGTGCAAGGATGAAAACGAAGAAGATAACAGGCCAAGCGTGAATAGGATCACGATCCTCGGGCAAGAATTCATTCAAGAAACTCAATCGACTGGAGACCTTAGCCACGGGTCCACCAAGCCTCTGAACTATAAACGAATCCTCAGTAACTACCGTTTGCTGCAAAATATCTCTACATCCTCTTCCAAGCTCTAGAACCATCTCGCACCACGATTTCAAAAATTCCTTCACTTGTTCCTTCAAGGCCTCCGGCGGTTCCGTCCCATGATCACTCTCAGCAACCGCCGTGGGTTTCTGATCAGCGAACGGCGGTAACGACGGGAAACCTATTTCCTCGGTGTATATCATCCCCGGATCTTCCACCAAACTCGCCAACTCCTCCCGCCACGTGTCCAATCCTCTCACTTCGGCCATTTTTTCTCTAAAAAAAACTCTCCCTCAATCTCTCTTATCCCTCAATCAATCATCAATCTCTATGAAGAGAGTGCCGCTTTGCTTTAACCACAAGCCTCTCAATTAATCATTTCATAAAAGTTCAAACAAAATGTAAGGACAGAACTGGAACTGAAGCTTTACCAGCGTGATAATGAAGCTTTTCATTTCTTTAATCAAACAAAACGGAAACCGACTACCATTAAACGGAATCAAAGAAAAGCATAAGTCCAAAAGGATTTTTACTCACTCCAACTTTCTCTTTCCGACACATCACAAACGGATGGCTCTGACCTAATCCTCCCAATGATTTTTTAATCGTAATTAACTGACTCGTTAACTAGAATGTTTAGGGATTCAATACTTACCGTCAGATGCTGATGATTCGTCCACTTTCGCGAGCACTGTGCCGTATGGTTAACGGCTCGTTAGCGGTGGGACCGGGGGCGTGTCTGCAGCTGAGTATGTGGAGATGAGAATGAAAGTCGGTGGTGCATGTGGACTGGGAATGGTCGTTTTACCCTTTTATTTTGCTGCTTATTTCAAATTGTTTACTATGAAAAAGAATTGTCCTTCAAAGAATCTGGGCCCTTCATTTTCAATAAGATCAATGTCAACTTTGTTAGAATATGAATTGACGGTGATGGACATTAACCAAGAAGAAATGGGCTACTCGTGAGGATAATGATTACGATTCAGAATTGGCGTCATGCTCCCGGCAAGATTTTGTTATAATTTCTATACTCTAGTGAGGGATGGTAATTTAGTTTTAATTGGAAAAATATGTACGTTTGTAAACGGATTTAACATTCAACAAATCATTCGTAAATCATTAAATGAGAAATTTATTTATGTTTGTTTATTGTTAAATAAATGAATATAAAAAAATTATGTTCGTTTAATTAAATGAATAAACGTGTTCGTTTATTTATGTTTGTGAACTTAAAATTGTTAAGTTCGACTCAAAAACTCACGAGCTTAAAATTTTTAAACTCCAACCGAAATTAAAAATTAAAGTTTAACTCGAAACTTGAACCTGAACCTAAACCTTAAGTACATAAAAATCTTATAGTATTATATTTTAAATATATATATATATAAATATTAATATTATTAACGATTTGATTTAAAAATCCTAAAATTTTAACATTTTTTTAGTTACTCACGAGTTTTTCGAGCCGAATACAAAGTAACTCGTTTTGACTCATTAAGAATTCAAGTCAAGTTCAAGCTAGAGTCAAATCAATTCAATCGAGTGTTGATCAAATTTGACTGAATTAATCTTGAGTGACTCATGATCTGTCTGTCTTATTTACAACCCTAAATCTGATTCAAGTCTATTTTGATTCAAAATAATAATTTAAATCTTATTAAAAATATACTTTCGAATCTAAAAATGTTTGAATCCTAATGAGTAACTGGTCAAATATAACCTTATAAAATTCAAATTCAATTCAAGCTCGAATTAAATTTACTTTCAATTCAGATATAAACTTCATAAATCGTTATTGCTCAGGACAGTGCTCTGACGTCCTGCTCTTATCCACGATGAGCCCGTCGGTTCTTCCTCATCTCGTGAGACGGAAGCACAGGTTGGTCTACAGTCATCAAGTTTTTTTTTGCGAGCAGGTCCACTACAAAGATTATGAACTTGCATTATGAAAGCCATCAGCAAAGGAGAATTAAGCATGAGGAATTTTATATCTTAGGTCAAATAAATATGTAAAACTCGTGTGTGGCAGTCCGATATCCGAATACGAACAGGTGTATTGAGAAGCTTCGATATGGGCATAAAGCGTTAGGAGAAACGGGTGGTCCGGCATGGATAAGATCTTGTCTTCCATTTGAACGTGGGAAAGTTTCTCGTTGCTCAGTGTATCCCCGTAGATCACTTCTACAATATTGCAATATCTAAGGTGCAACAGAGGAAGACCTGGTCGAGGTTTTCGGTACTTGAAGATATTAATTTTTTATCCATATTATTATTATTAATATTATTATTATTATTATTATTATTACTATTATTATTATTATTATTATTATTATCATCATTATTATTATTATTATATATTAACATATATATATAAATAATAATTACAGACCAATTACAACTGGACCGGCCCAGTTACAAACAAACCAGAACCGGTCCAAATCAAACCAGAACCCTAAACATTTGGGTTTCCAGTTAGGGTTTCCTAACCCTAATCTAAACCAGCCGCCTCATCTTGCTGCCGTTGGATATGGCAAGATCCAACGGTCCAGATGGCTCCAGAGGGAAACCCTAGGGTTTGATACCCTAGGGCCACGCGGCGCCACCCCCGTTTCCACGCGGCTGCCGACACTTTCTCGCCGCCTCCGCCGCTGCCACGTCCCAAATGAAGACTCCAGAAGATCAACGCCAGCCGTCCATGCCATGGCTACGGGGTGAGTCACCACTGGTAGTCCGGTGACTCACCGAGACCCCATCTTCGGACTGGTCCGATGGCCACACCGGTGGTGGCTATAAAAGCCACCACCCCAACCTGAAAAAAGAACGGAAAAAGAAGACAGAAAAAAAACAGAGAAAGAAAAAAACTACTAAACCAACGATCTCAGTCAAACATCCAGCAACCAAAAACAGAAGGAAAAGGAAGGAAGAAACTTACCGAAGAAGCCTCGACCACCGGATCTCGTCAGAACCTTCGAAATATCGAAGGTATTTTGTAGATTCGCTCCTATTAGGAGCTTTTTAAGGGAAAAGAACACCGGGACCGTCCTTAGGACGGTCCGATCTATCTATTAGGGAGAAAATAAATTTTTCCGGCCACCAAATGCGGTGGCCGGCGGTTGCATTCACGGCGGCACACGGTGACCGACTTCCCTCCGATGAGGGAAGCTAGAGAGAAGGCAGAGAAATTTGTTCTCTCTCAGTTAGAGAGAGAACAGAAATGAAAAAATGAAGGCTGGCCCTTCGGGCCAGCCGGTTTTGGACCATATATAGTCCTTCCCGAACGACGTCGTTTGGGAAGGACTATGCGCGTAATTATAGAATAGTTAAACCACGTCCGCAGTCATCCCAATTTGTAAACTTTACATTTTAGTCACTAAATCAAATTTATAATCCTTTTAATTTGGTTCTTTAATTTTAATTTTATTCATTTTAGTCCTTTATATAAAATAATATTTTAGGATAAATAGCAGATTTAATCCCTTAATTTTAATAAATAATATTTTAATCCTTAGTTTATATTTTTAATTTATTTTATTATAATATCCGAATTTTAGATAATTTTATTTTAGTCACTAAATAAATAAAATAAAGAAATAGCATGTTTAATCCCTAATACTTGATTAATATTGAATTAAGTTTTTAATTTTACTATAATTTAGTCATTTAATTTATAAGTTTTCATTTATTTTATTGCTTTTAAAATATATTGTTTTAGTGGTATTTTTATTGTTTATATTTTTAAATATTTTTATGTATTCATAAATATATATATAATAAATCTGGAATAAATTTTTTAATGTTTATTTTTAATATCGAAGAAAAGGACAGTCTTAATACAACTGGATGTCCTATTCTGATATTTTTTAAACAATATTATTTAAATTAATATTTATCAATATCAAAGAAAAGAGCTGTCTTAAGGCACCTAGAAGTTCTTTTCTGATATTTTAAATAAATAAATTTTTTTTGAAATAATAGGATTATAAATTAAATATATTTGAATTTTATACTTTAATAATAGAGACAATTTATAATTAAAAAGTACCAATTTTGGGCGTTGTAGGGGTGCTAATCCTTCCCTAAACGTAACCGACCACGAATCCCTTTTTATTATTAAGAACGAATTTTTGGTTATAAAACGCAGATCAGTTCAATTTTTTTAATTAATGTTTTTTTTTAAAAAAAACTCTTTTAAAAGAAAATTTTTTAGGTATTCGACCTACCTGATCCAACAGGTCGATGGCGACTCACAAATTATTTTCAAAATTATTTATTCACATCAATTTCCCCGCCAAATTTAATATTTCGTGCCCAGACGAAAACCGGTTACGACAGCTGGCGACTCTGTTGGGGACTCTGGTCAAACTTTTAAAAATCAATTATGAATTGTCTCTATTAATTAAAAATTAAAAATTCATATATTTAATATTTAATTTTTTCTTTTCAAAAATTTTTATTTACTTATTATTTTCATATATTTATATGTTTTATTTGTAAGTATTTTATTTCATTATTTATTTTGTCAGAGGTATGAACATTTCTCCTCACCACAACACTTGCATTGCATAACATAAAACTCTATAATTGAGTTGTCCCTTTTAAGTGGGAGTGAAAGCTACGTCTTCGTGAGAATTTATTCTCCGTGTCAGACCTAGCAAGTAACTTTCGGGGTTCATATGCTCTATCTTCGTGAGAATTTATTCTCCGTGTCAGATATAAAGAAATGTATCCCCTCGAATTGAACTCGATCCACTTTAGTCTGTGATGGACTAGGATTAAGGGTTAGCAACCCAAGGGGGCACTAACAAAGACAATTCGGGTACCTTGATTCTTAGATCTGAAACCCTGCATATAAAAACCTTAGAAACTCTTCCGATCAGAAGTCATGCCGAAATTTTGTCCAAAATAGGTGAACACACAGGAGAAATGAATTCTGACTTTCCTGTTAATTTATTGTTTAAATTACATGTTTATTTAAATTATTTAAATTCAGAAAAGCATGTTTAAATAAAGAATATTTATGTAAATGTTATTATTGAATTTTTTATTATGTAAACTAATTTATTTTCTTGGTGTGGTTCTTTATTTTTCTGTTTGCATATCATCATACAGGATAAAAGACATTGATCCTTGTGTTAATTGTCTCATTGGAAAGCCTTCATCCATGGATAAAAGGGTTCAAATCAAGTAATTCTAAACTCAGAAGTAAGACAGTGGGCTGAGAATTTACAAAGACAAGAAGGAGACAGTCTGCAGGAGATTATGTATCTGACTTGGCCAGTTATGCTTCAATTTCACTAAAAAGAAATGATATGCAAGATTTGCGAAGCATTTGGGAAAGTTGGGATTCAAACAAAAAATTGCAGTTTTATCAGACTTACGGAGACATCCCATATTTGCTCTATGTTGAAGTTGATGATGAATTACTCAGAGCCCTAATTCAATTCTGGAATCCAGG